TTACCTCTCAATTTTAACTTCCAAAAATTTGTTTTGTTGCACTCTTGCAAGAAACTTGGCTTCTTTTTCCCCATCTGCCCCACCTTTTCTCAAGTATTAGACTAAATAAAAATACTAAATAATGTGAGTACAAAATCTTCTACAAAGATCTTAGATAGCAGGCCAGCTAGAGGGCTTAGAAATATGTGCTTCAACTACATGCAAGAATGGATCGTAAACATTACGACCATTTTTTGAAGTTAAAGCATTTAACTTGGATTTTGTTTCATTACCAGAAGGGCAATTATCTGAGAATGACAATTCCTGGTTTGACTGCATTCCCTGTCTCCTGTAGAGGTAACTCCCTTGTAAGGATATATGGTCAAACAGGTGCAAAAGAAGACATGAAAACTATATGTGTATATATCACTAGAGAAGTTGGATGGCATGATTCACATTTGCTTTCTGAAGACATCTATAAATTTTTTTTTTAAATATTATGAAAAAGCAGAGTTCTCTGGCTCTGCAAGTGACTGGCCCAGAAAAGTCTAGCAGTGAGTGTGAAATGCAGGCATGCACTATCCTATCCAAGGTAAATGCACTGTTTTGACAACTCTCTGAGGCTGATCTTGAAGGACAGAATGAAATAATTATTAAAATACAGAAGAACCCACTGCCTGGCTCTCAATTCCTGGTAATGTTACCTGCCAGGTCAGGTGTCAAGGGTCATGTTCAGACCACTAAAAACACAATTTAAAAAAAAGAGAAAATTAAATTAATGGACATAGAGTCTCATTAAGAGAGAGAGAAGCAGAAAGTGTGGGATATGTGACAAATTATAAAATATTTGAAGAACACTGTTTTCCTAGTTTGGTGCTAGAAAGCAATGGCAAGGAGTACCCAAAGCCAGACATACTCGCCCCAGATACTTCTCTGTCCTGTATTAAATCACACAAAATACTGTTATTGTTTTTCATAAAATCATAGAATCATCTAGGTGGGAATAGACCTTGAAGGTCATTAAGTCTGACCCTTATCAATATTTTATATCCATTTTTTCCCAGAGAACCAAAATAATCACCATAATCAAGCAAAACAGTAACAGCAATGGGAATAGAAGTCTTGTGGATTGGGTTTAACCAAGTTAAAAATGGCAGAATAAAAGAACTGGCTCACACTTTGACTCATGCTCATGCTTTATCAAATCACACTATGACTAAACCACAGCCAGTGTTTAAACTTTGAAGAGGGACACATGACAATGCAGTTTTCTAGCACATCTGTTGTGTATTTCACATCTTCATTTTAAAAACAGCTGCACAGAAACCTGCTAAGTGTGACTGTAATACAACCAACACAGACTGATGGCAAAGGCATTGGACAAAAAGAAATGCTTTTTCAAGTTTTCACAGTTACAAAGTACACAGGTGACTTTCAAAGAAAAGGATACTTTCCCTCACTGTCTTCTGAATTAATGTGAATCTCAGCAAGTATCCAAAAGGATTTTTTTATTATGGCCATATTATTTCATTAACATATAACTCAGGAAGAAAAATGAATAATTTTTAGCAGCAAGACATCAGCTATCTTGCTTGTTACCTAAAAGAGTTAATTTTAGAGTGAGCCACAGCTACTTTGCTCTGACTGTATTTAGTGTGGGTTTGAGAATGTTTTAGAGCATTTACTACTTTAGTACCGGTTTGTCCCTTTTTAACAAGTGTGAGATTATGGAGTTTAAAAAGAGATAATAATTCAGAAAAGATGAAACAAGTTCTCTTTGAAAGACTTTAATAAGGAGCATGACATTCCTTTTAGAGCAAAAGCAGCTTCTCAATTTCTTTCTCCTAGAAGTAACTCACTTCCCCAATTTAGCCTGACTTGTTATTGTTTCTGACTAACACCTTAATCCTCCTAACCAATTTTTTACCTATTTCCACACTGTTATCAACAGAAGTTTCAAAATTATGAAAATAATACATTTTCTAGGTAGGTGAAAAGAAGAGAAAGATTTTCAAGATGTGTTTACTCTGCCATCAACAAGAGAAATGCATCACTTATGTGAATAATACTAATCTCAGACTATGCCAGATACTGGCTCTACCTTGGAAATAACAACATGGACTTTCTCCTAGGATTGCAAGGGACTTTATACAGCTCTCCTTGACACAAATTTCCATGTTTTTACTATGGCTGGTATCTGAACTAGTAAAACTAAATATGGTTTGGGATGTCCTTGCTGGCTGCAGTTATCTACAGCTGAAGCTCAGCCATCCTCTTTTTAACTGCAAGCTAAGATCTTTCTGCATAAAGCAGAAATTGGGATTTACAGAAATGACCAAGATTGCACTCCCACATACATACCCTGAAATACACATAACAACCCTCACTCCTCCCCCCCCACAAAAAAACCCAAACCACAACACCCCCACAAGGAAACAGCAATTACATAAACATTGGAATGGAAACTAAACAGTGAGATAACAAAGCTGTTCTCTTAACTGTCTCTCAGAAGAAAATTGAGCAGTAGATGATTATTTGAATAAACCTTTCCAAATCCAATTTCTCTAGCTTGTCTCCAAGCATCATCTCAGTCTGAAGACCCAGGAAAAATTATGGACCAGCAAATCCAAAGAAACAGTCATAATAACTTTCAAGAATTTGTCTGTCCCTCAGACTGTGGCATAAATCTTCTAGAACTTCTGTAATCACCTACAGGCTTGCCTTTGACTTGGACCTATGAAACAGTGCTGTTTTTTGAGGCAAATCCTCTTCACATGTCAAACCTTGGCTAATTTTCCCTTTTAAACCTATGAGTCATAGTGACATTACTGATACCTAATCATCCTCTTTTTCTGCATCACCATTCTCCTGGCTCCAGTGCCATACAGCTGTTCTCATGTCTCCCATTCCTGTAGTGCACTGCTGCACTGTCCTTTAGGAATGATGCCTTGCTTCCCTCTTCTGCTCTTTTCATCAACTTAAAGTTGACATACAATGCAAATTTAATATTCACAGTTTATACTTTTCATGTAAATCTTCTATATCAATACTGTAGCTGGGTAGGTGACAAACATAGAAATAAAGCAACTAAGGACCAGGATGTCTGCAAGAAAACGCCCAAAAATATTTATTTACTCACCTTCAACCAACCAACCAACCAAAAATAATAAAACATTTGATCCTCAAAACTTGTTTTCAGTAAAAAAAAAATTACATTGGAGTGGATTTTGAACTATGTTGTCACTGCCCCTAGCCTCTGAACTTTTATCAAAAGGTGAAACACTGTAAATAAAAATAAGCATTATACACAGATTCTTATCCAAACATCACCTTAAAAAACTGTTTAAAAAATTTAGCTCCCCAGAGCTGCAGTAGCATTTCTGTAATTTTTTGGAAGGCCTTTTGGAGGCTTGAAAATCCATTACAAATTTTAACTAGCTCTAGCATCACCCTCCTCTTTTCAGTCTTTTTGTGTTTTATCTTTTGTTATTTTCAAAAGAAGCTTCTGGATTTTACTGTGATGGTAAATTTATAATGGTGTTTTTAAAAATAATATTATTTCACTGACTCTTGAGAGGAGCAGTTTAACCAAAGTATGAACCTCTCCATTCATCTATTTATAACTTCTAAAGCCAGGAGCCTACATTGCTGACTGTAAGCCAGTCTTTTGCCTGATATTTCCTAGGTATGTTTACAGCCAGATTAAAAACATCTGCTGGACCAGGCAGATTTATCCACAGTTCAGCCAAAGCTCTTAATCAGATTCAATTTCCTCTTGTCCTGGTCCCTTTTACTCTCTTGAAGCTTCAACAATGCATCTCTTCCAAACCTGAAAATAACATCTCATTCTCAGATTCAAAACCTTTAGATCCATTTCTGCAGCAAATATAAAAGCTCTCTTCACCTTCACAGGTCTCAGGTCCACAGATACTTTGTGTTTATTCTCTACATAGCTCCAACCTACATCAGATGGAAAATCACTTCCTGTTCTCCTTCCTTGTTTTATGTCAGTGATTAGACAATAATATCCCAGTCTTTTTGAATCTATTTCCTGCGGCAGGAATTTTTCACATCAAGTTATTTTTGCTACCTGAAATATAAATCCTACCTAAAAATCCATTTCTTCTATGACCACTTCACTTCCACAGTTGCAAATGTCAGCTGACCACGATCAATGTATTATTTTTTATTTAAACTTTCTCATTGCATTCTATTCTTCCACACATGTTGTCACCTAATTTTACTTCCCCCACTAAAAGTAGCTTTCCCCAGTGTCAGAGCAAAAGATATAGTTCATATATGATTTCATTGGTAATGATACCAAACTGCATAAACAGGAAAGGAAAGCTCAGCTCTAGGAAAGGGAAAACAATATTGCTCTGTAGTAAAGCAAAAAAAAAAAAAAAAAAAAAAAGTACAGTTTAATTGGAATTATTGAAACAATTAACATTCTTTATCAAAATTTTAGCACTCAAGTATAGTTGAGTATGTAAGAAACTTTCTTTTTTAAACCTCTGCTTCAGATGGACTTTGACAAAGAACTCAGACAAATCTTGTTTATACAGTGACTCCCACAGCTCAAAGCCAATATTTAATCTTTATGTACTTCAAAAATAGCTTGGAAGCATAACTGGAATGAAGTTAAAAGGCTTAGCAAGCAAAAAAGCAGACTGAAAAAGAAAAATAGTCAGACTTATTTAAGAGTATTTTTAGTTATGCTGATAATTTTGGTTGTGTGACTCATACCCAGGAAACCTTTGAGATGATAATATTCAAAGACAGGTACTTTTTGATTCAAGAAACCAGGCACAACACATCTATTCACTGAAAATCGTGAACTGGATGCAGACACATCTGAAGTCTGCAATACCAGATTCATATAAACTCAAGATCCTTAAAAGAGGGAGGCAAGCCCCAACCCCTCACCCTGCTGCTGTTTTACTTGTGCCCAGGCCACCCCAAAGCTGCAGAGAAGGTGACATTTCAGCAGCCCTGCTCACAGGGGCCCCAGCAGCACTCACCACTGGACGGTGCACATCCCAAAATGCTCGCTCCTGACTGTCGAGAATCTTCCTCTCTATCTTGTCTCTCTTCTTGTCAACCCTGGCAATGTCATAGGACATTTAAAGGAAACAGTGTCAGAGACTGACATTTTTAAACATAAAATGTGTCCAACCACTTTCCCCCCCCTCAAAAAATCATGCAAAATGAAAACTGCTCATCTCCAAAGGAACTTACTTTGCTTGTGCTTCAGCTTGCATAAAAATAAACTCCCATTTCCGAGCAAAAGCTCGCTGTAGCCTGGCCAAACTCTCCTGCAAATACATCACAATTTTAGTGGGTTAGCTTGCAAGTTATTTACTCCTTAATAGGTTCTGGCTTTATCTTTCCCTCCTCTCCACATCTCCCCCTCACCAAAATGTAATACAAGTCATGATATCTGTGTCAGTGCAAATGGACCTTACTTATCTGACACAAAGTTTGTTCTTGCCACCCAATGAGATGGAATACTTTTGAATGCCTCGACTATTTTAGTTTTGAAACTCTGATAAAAAGGGTAGATGCATCCTTCAGCAGAACATGGGATTTCTGAAACATTTGTATATACTGTGTGTTATCTTAGCAATTTTGAAATAGTACGAAGAAACATCCTTGTTTTGAAAGTATGTAACAATGAAAGATAACATCAGTAATGTCCATTTGGATGATCCACATGACAATTCTTCATCAGTCATCCATGCAAATGGTATCCACTGGATAGTGTTGGCTGCCATTTTTGGTAGTATAGTCAAACCTCCACAGCTATCCTCATTTTTAAAAATACAGACTATAGTTCTTCAATACTGTACAGGAAGTGTACCTATTCTGCAGCCTACCAATAATAACAGGTAGAAAAATTATAAAATCGTTGCAAAATTCTTTCTTCCATTGACGATGGAACATTTTCACAGTCTCCAACAGAGCTTTCTAAATCTCTTCCCAGTTTAAACAGCATGTATGCAGTCTTCTTAACAAAAGTGTTATTTTTACTATATTTCTATGCATTGCAAACATATCTCTGTGCCATACTCACTGAAAATGAAGACTACAGAAAGAGAAGAGTAGACTTGCTAGAGATCTTGCCAATACCAGAAAAGGCTCTTATGGATTGTACATTGAAGGGGAGTTTTCTAAGGCATGTGAGTATAAAATTATGCATGTCCCACAGCACAGTACACTGAAAAACAAGCTTGTGCCAAAAGAAGCAATGCAGTGTGTCAGCATGGTGCTGTGGCTGGAGTGTCTGGTGTGTTGAGAGGCCAGGCTGACTATCCTGCTATCAGGTCACATCAGCACAGCTGGACAGCTTTCAGCCCAGAGACAGGGCTGTTCATGAATTTTGTGTTGACAGATTCATGAAAAATTCAGGAATTTTTGGGGGTAGAGTTGGAATTCGAGCCATCTCTCTCCTTATTTAATGCTATCCTCATCAGCTAATCCAACTCTCCCTTTTTGAAGCTCTTCCTGGCCCCAGGCACAGCACAGCTGTCAGGGAGTAGGAATGCCTCTAGTCTGAGCCTCTTTGCCTCTCATCTAGCTGATGGGAAAAGGCTCAAGTGTCAGCATCCCTTATAAAGAATGAGATTCACATTTCTACATCTATCAAGAGCTTTTGGAAATGTTGTCAGGGATCCTTTGTTCAAACCTTAGATGCTGTAGAGAACAACCTCTTCCAAACTCTCGTGGTGCAGCTGGGATTTGTGAAGTTATTTGTGATCCTAGCATGGGGATCTGAGCAGAGTAAGATTAGAGATGGACTCTATTCTCAACATTTGTCCAGTTAGCCTTCATTATCATCTCTTAAATGGTGTTTGAGAGATGATAGTGAAGGCTAACTGGACAAGCTTCTTCCAGCTTGTTAGACCCACAAGCTGGAAGAACTGGATAACTAATAGATTTTCACACATAATGCCCATAGTTCTCATGCTTCACATTATTTCACAGGCTCATCAGGCCCAGCAGAAAAATTTACTTTTTCCCAGGTACTTACAGCTTCATAGTCTGCTAGTTCTAGCCTTGCTTTGTTTTGCATTGTCCGCTTGCAGAGGTAAACAGCTGGAACAGAATAAAATAAACAGAATTTGCTACTATCTCACAAACATGGCAGATGAGAAATAAAAGCTTCATGTCTGGCTTAAAGCTATCTTTTTTGTTTGATTTCTGCCTTTGTTCTAGAAAGCTTTAAATATGGGATCAAGGCTACCAGGATTGTAACTGAAATGATGGATCAGATACCTAGGTTCATTAAATAATAATAAAATCTGCTTTATGCAACAGACATCATGTGCAAAATTCATGAGGTACTTGAGGTCAGGGTTTTTTAATGGCCAGGGAACTAGCACATTAAAGAAAAATGGCAAAGACATTTTTCAAACTGTCTGTGTATAAATCATAATGCATAAGAGTTTCAGCAGGAGCTGCTGCTGTATTAGTCAAACAGGATTGTAAGAACACAAATACATGTTTTTATTTATTTTGAGTCTATATTTAGAAAACACAAACTTTCAACCTAAGAAGATTTTAGCTAAAATATAATTCTAGATAAAATTCATGTCTCATACAGATTACTCTGCTATAACCAATACTTAAACTAGAAAATAATGTGAGACCTAAAAATGAAAAAAAGCGTCATCTGCTACATATGAGAAAAAATATTCTTTCATTTATTTTATAAATCCAAAAATCCTTCAGAAGATCTGTCCTTCCTCCACTTCATTTAGACAGAATGCAGAATCTTTAGTAATAAAATGGTAAAGTACATTTTCAATAGACCTTATTCAGCCACAAATACATTCCAAAAAACTCTGAATATTTTACAGATTCCCCCACCAGTGAGACAATGAGTGCAGTACAATTCCTAATTGGAATTGTATCCTAATTCCTACCCACTTCATTACCTCAGAGCACTGCTCATGTGAGATGGATGAATCTTTTGATCAGATTAGGTGATAAAACCTTAACTTATCTCCACAATCAGCAAAAAGAGCCCATAGTTGCTGGTTGTGCTTAGGAATGTTCCTACTGCCAGCTGGTCTAGTACAGGAGCAAAGCCTCTCTGGGAAATAACTTCACACAGGAACTTAATTCTTCCTAACTAGGAAGAAGGATGTGCTCATCTTACATGTAAGTTTGAATATTTAGTCAACCCAAATATAATTTAAGATGCCATGGAAATATTCATTCCTGACAAGACACCTGCAAATGCATGCAAACCCACTGCAGTGAATGCTCTTTTAGTTGAATTGATTACAAGCACTTCTACCTGCAGTTAAAGGTGTTACTTGATGTAAAATGAGTTATATTTTAATGCAATTTTTGTCTTTTCTTCCCCTCCTCTTTTTGTGTGTATTATTTGGTCTACTTTGTTTCATAATATTTCACTTTCCAGTCTCATAAGAAGCCATGGTCTCTTTCTCTATTCCCTGCCCCCCCCTCCAACCCCTCTGGTTCCAAGGCAGTTTCTGTGTCTACAAATCTACGAAGACAGATCTAGATCTAGATCCATGTCATAGCAGACAGAGTTTCTATAGCTTTCCTGCATTGTAATATTATTATACACTTACACTAATGCATTGGCATGCATCACAAAAAGATGAGGGGATGAATTTTGGACCCTTTGTACCTAGGCTGCATTCACAATCAGTACACTGGTAAGAGATTCTTGAGGAGAGAGGAGGTCTTTGTCATTTCGCTTCTTTTAAGGTGAAGCATTTTCCTCTTTTCCTTCAAAATTGGTTATTTCATTGAACAAGAAAAAAAAATTCCTAAGCCCCTTGTAAATATTAGCAATAAAATACACACTTTATATAATGTGTAGACAGTTCTGAGAATTCCAGGAGTCAAAATTTTCTCTACCAATTTAATACCAACTGAACAGAAACAATAAAAGCTCCCTGTTCCTGCACTTGATCAAAACTTTTAAAGCACATTCTTATAGTCCCAGTGCAGACACTTCTAGTTAGTTTAGCTCTTCCTTGAGTCCCATTGTGGGCAAATTTTGGGATAATATTTCCTGCTACTCCTACAAAAATTCTTGTTTCAGAGGTAGCTGACTGCTCATCTTTCTGTCAGGATAGGTTGCATCAAAAAAGTATCTTCAGATAAGAGAGATTTCAACACCAGAGAAACAACCAGCAGGTCACCAGGAGATGAATTAGCTCAACACATTATTAATTTAACACTGTGTCTTCACTGTGTAACTCTACTGCAGTCATTTTCCCTTCAGGGTTCTTTTAATGACCCTTTTTCCTCCCAGTCCATATAAAGATGTTTGGTTTTCATTATGAGCATGACTTGGCCAAGACTCAAAAAACCATATTTATCCCTCAGACCCTTTTTTTAAAACTGAAATATGCAGATCCCAGACCCTTTTTGTTAAACTGAAATATCCAGATCCCTTCCCCTTCAGAGGAGTCTAATGGTTAAAACAGCTGTGGCTTGGATTCTTTATGCCAGAAATGTCTCCATGTGCCACTGTGAATAACGTAGAATATGCCTAAGGAGAAATTACTATTGTGAAAAGTACAGCATATCCACTAGTGTAGGAGGAAAAAGTGCTGGAGGACATTCCTACTCTGACTCAATTTATTGCCATTGCTTTGTGCTAACAATTACATCCTATAAAAGTGCATGTTTGAGCCTCTATTTAACAGCTAACTGTACTGCCATGAAAAGCTGGCAGCAGCTCAGGAATTTGTCTTCACCATTTTATGCTCTCTATCACATTATTTGGCTTATCTGTAAAAATTCAGTAGCAGGTTGGAAAGCAAGAAAGTGAATATCACCCTCATTTTCAGCCAGATTATTTGAAGATATAGAGTAGTGAGGTTTTGTTCTTCTGACTTTCAGGACAATGACATTTGAAATATGGATTCTCCCACTTTTCACAGGCACCACTCCTTTTCTGCACCAAATCACACATGGAGTAAGTGTACTTGTCCATTAGTCGGACTTTGAGGATGTCAATCAATTTCTCTCTCAAAGCAGAGTCAGGATCTCCCAGAATTTCGGTGAATTATGGTGTCTGCTTTTCCAATCCCACATGTTGACAGCGCTTTTACAGCTTCACAAGAAGTGCAGCCTGTAGGAAGGATCTCCAACTGAAGCTCTCTATTTCTGTGTATAGCTCTCTATTTATCTATCCCACAAAGCTCCAGGTCAGGGCCCTCAGTGCACCAAGGAGCTGTAATTCCACCGAGGACCCCACCCAGGGGTTCCACTGAGGCCTGTACCCAGGCCTAGCTACTGCCCCTGGCACAGGCTTGAGTTGTGTTGTAGATAGATCTCTAACCAGCCCTGTAGCCTATCCATGCTGCTACCTCGTTCCTGCCTGCACTCTTGCCAACCTCAGTTCTTGCCTACCTGCCCTTCCTTGCCCCTCCCTGACAAGGGCACTGAAAAATGCTCACCATGGGGATGAATGATATGCAAGGAACAGGGTCTGATTAATAACCTCAATTTGCTAAATATGGACTGCCTTATACACTTATTTTTAGAGCCAGTGTATTCTGATGGATTTTGCAATCAACATGATTGCCTCTACTAAAGTGAATTATATATTAGATGCTATAGCTTGTGCTTTAGACCATAAGCGAACAGATTCGCCAATAATTTTAAAGGCCATATTAATTTGTAACATTTCATAATGAAAGATGGTCAGTGATGTTTATAAATGGGTATTTGAACAAGAAACAAGTGTTGAAATACATTCCTGTAGCTGTGCAGTAAATACAGTCTACTAGCTCTTGAAAATTCTGTTCAGGCATTCACAAAATGTGGGCAATCTGAGAGTTTCAAGTGAGACTACAAAGCCAGAGTTGCATAGAGGATGCCTGTACTTTGCCTCTTGCAAGTTTTTAAACTGTCACATCCAAAAAAACCCATTTTCATGGTTCACTACTTGTTTCCTATTCTTGACAGTTGACTTGCATTTGAAAGCTCCTATGAAATCTCAATAGATTTTTTTTCTTTAGATAAGATCATAGAGATTTATGACACACTTCTTTCTAGCTCAAGAAACCGGACTGGGTACACATTATATTATAATTACTCAAAAAAAAAAAAAAAAAAAAAAACAAACACAAAAAAAAAACCAAAACAGAACTTTCACCCAAAACCCACACTGAGGAATTTTATCTTGTTGCTAAACAGAGGCTAAATCTTCCCTTTTGCCACAGTGCAGCAAAGGCCACAGCTAAATTCAATGGGAGTTCAACTGGGCCTCTGAAGACCACAGACTATGGCACCTGCACCCCTCCCACCACACACACAAACTCCTTCCCTAACTGTGCCAGTGGGATCACAGCTGGATTCACACAAGTGTGCTTTCACTGAACACTCATTATCTCCACTGAGGCCAGGCTAAATTTATGTACTCCCTGAGCCAAAATCCTGTTTTCAGAGCCAGTGTGTTATAAGCCTAGTCTGTATCTAAAGAGCAAAGAAAAGAGCGAGTACTGCAAGGTCTAAGGGTTTCAAAGTGCCCTGCAGGCAGACAGTTCTCCCTCCATATGCAAGTGCCTGCTTCAGACTGAGAATTACAGGACAATCAGCACAAAACATGACTGCAGGATGGAAAGCATGAAATTAACTCTTTTATTTTAACATTGGGATTTCTAGGGCTATTTCCTACCATCTTTAGGTCACCTCTGCTTTTAGTCAATAGAAAAAAAATTGCCCTTAGCAACAGCTATTGAGTTTCACTTAGTCTTAAAAATGGGTCACCACAGAGCCCTGTGTATCTACAAAAGAACCACACTCTTAAGTAAATGCTAATAAAATTAAGTTAGAAGGAAGAGCATGATCAGGTTTATTTGCACTAAATTGCCAAATCATCAAAACCTCAACTTATGAAACACTTCTCCCCATTTCTAGTCTTTACTTTTTGATCCTATTGATCCTATTCTTTTCCCATAACACTTCAGGAAAGCAATTCGATTATAGATTTACACAAGCAGAGGACTTTTTTACATAAACAAAGGGCAAGAAAGAACTCAAATTTCAAACTACCAAAGAGATCAAGAATTAGAAAAAGGCAAATTCATCTTCAACATACA